TACACCCTGTATATAGTTTTTGAATTTACGTATCCCATAAATATTTTCGGTTATACCACTTTGGTATCCCAAATGGAATATTCATCACCTATTTCATAAGAAATCAAAATAGAATGTTTCATGCCTTGAACAATTTTTTTTATCTCTTGGAGCGCACAAAAGGATATTTCTATGATATTCGAAGAACATCGTGCGAACCTAGAGGGATAGGGAGAGGAGGGAGGTGTTGTAATTCTTCTTGAACTATTGGAGCTCATGAAATACGATTTAAATTAACATACTGTATGTTTTATTGAATACATTTTTCCATTTGAAAATACATAACCTCGAAAACTTAATTCGGTAACGGAAAAAAAATTTGAATCATTGAGAAACTGTGTACTCGTTATATATTATGTTTTTTCCATTTGAAAATACATAACCTCGAAAACTTAATTCGGTAACGGAAAAAAAATTTGAATCATTGAGGAACTGTGTACTCGTTTAATATTATGTTTTTTTTTGTTAATCGTATTATTATTTTTTTCGGGACAACCTGTTACAATAACCAACAACAAACAATAAGTTGTACTTTGAAATCAGGGCCTGGGCATCACTTGTTTCGCGGTTTTTCAAAAAAATACGACCCTCCTCGTTTTTACGGAGCTCTGCTTATATAATTTTTAAATTTCTATGTCTCACAACAATAAATTTTAACCTCATCATAACGAAATTATATTTAATATTATTTATGTATTTAAGGCCGATACATTCAGTATGAAGGAATCTGAAACAAAAAAAAGCAATTAGAAAGCAGTTCAATTATAGGCGAAAACAATAAAAAATCTTATAAAAAAAATGAGAAAGAACAAGAGGTGGCCAATTGACGAGTAGACTATTTTTTTTTATTTCTTGAATAGAATGATCATAAATATAATACCACAAGTGATAATATTTTGCCGGAAATATTCGGTGATTGTTACGACAGCTTGTTGCCTAGTAATTTCGTGAATGACATTGTTATCAAAACTACGAGCCGTGGGCGAGTAGTTTTGGATCAATGTCATGAGCGAAATTAGAGCAGCAGGCTGGAGTATGTCACGAGTTGTATTCGTATGACTATTTCATGATTGAATGAAACAATCAAAAGAAATAGGAAACATAATTTAAGTATATTCCAACTCGAACTGCGAAGAAGAACATAATGATAATAATGAAATACAGAATTAACTTTTTTAGAAATTAACTACCTACCTACTTTTATAGTTATTCAAAAAGTGGAATGTACAATTTTGATAAACAGTATTTTTTTTATTATCTTATTACCTCTCAAGAGAGTGTATACAATTACTATCCAATACAAACAAAATGCATTGAATTTATGTGACATGGAATAATTAAAAAAAAAATCGTCACCGAGGGCTCGAACCATCGACCTTCGTATCCTCGCGCAACAACCCTAACAGTTGCGCTACATCAGCTAGTAATTATACTAGTCAGACACAATAACCTGAGTAATTGAAGAAGATTACTTCAAAAAGGAATTTGAATTCTATTATTGTTATGTCAGACCGTCAACAAATATGCAAACTTTTTAAATTACACATGAAACGTCCAGCCAGAATGAAATTGTCTCGCCTTTCGTTCAAAATATCTCACTAGCGCGAATTATAAGTAAATAAAATAAAGTAGGAACTTAGGTTATTGGCTCAGATTTGAATCCAAAGCAATCTTGACCAGACACGATGTCAAAATGTTATCGCTGATAAACGAGGTTTGTTGGTCACGTGTGGGTCAATCCGGCTTCTGTATTGGTAGAGCAAGTCCGATAAAATTTAATAAACAAAAAATATCGCTAGAATACAGAAGAAACCATGAAAATGGTCGATTCTGATTGGTTCTCGAGATCAAGAGTGGAATAGTCACTCATATACCTATCAATTTCATATCGTTTAAGGATTTTTTGGCCGATTTTTAGGTGCATCCATAATGCCACGCTAATTTTCAAACGGCTAGTGGCAAACCGTAGCACAGTTGCCATGTGTTGAAAAATGATTGGGAATTTCAGAAATATTGGTTATTCGAAAAAGCATAAATTCTCAATTGAGTATTGGTAATATTCCTGATTAGCAATAAATATTCAATTGTCTCAAAATATCCCCTTATGATTTGTGGCTCATTGCTTAAAATAAATTTGTGTAAATAATAATTATATTAATTCACACTAGAGGACATTTGAATCGGTGAACGTGACAACCACGGCGCACGACTTGTGGGCGTGGTCTTGTCAGTTCTCAGCATTCAGCACAATGTTGCCAAGTCTCCAACATTCACATGATATTTTGTTATGGAGAATAAGAAATATTTGGACATGCTGGTTGCTCGAAAAGGTCAAGCATGAACTAAAACATCATGGGTTCCTCCTATTATGTTTTATTCAATGACAGGACTCTAACATATTTTTGATAACTTGATTATAATTGGTGACTTGACAACCTTGCTTCATGAGTGGAAATGGAAGATTATCTGACCAATAACGAAACAGCATAAAAACTGACGTCACCATTTATTCGACGTATCGCCAAATGGCGGCCATGAAGGTTCGTTTGAAATGAGCTCTGAAATTAAACAATCTTGAACAACACATAGACTCATTATTAACATAAAAAAAGCGGGAGAAGTCTTGCAAAAATTGATTTAGGTTCCTAACGATACAGTGGAGTAATTGAATGCCAATAAGTCATTATCAGTCCACTCGCCCATTCTGAAATTTGATGATTCAATAATGGGCGTGTACACCTTAGTAGAACTTTTTACTCAAACCAAGTTTATAATGATCCTTTTATACATAAATAATGATTGACGACATAATTCGATCGAAAAATTAACTGGAATGTTTCATTTTTGGACATAAATAATAGTACCTTCTGAAAACGGACCCTCTTATGACGTAGAAACCTCATCTCGCCATAGTTAAAAGAAAATACCAAACGCCCGAAGGAAGACTGAGGCAACTGATATATTATGTCATTCAACTGTGATCTCGCGCTCATTCACTCTGTCAGAAATCATGTATAATTCATCTCTGTCTGGAATAGTCTTGTTTCAGTATTAGGGTTTTGACGTCACATCATCGCCTTGTTTTCAGAGGTCCGAAAATCGGGGATTTCAATAATTTTTTATAAAACGTAGGGAGCTTCAGTAGAGGAATGGATTGTAATAATTGTAATAATAAACCACTTGGTTCCTATGCCCCACCCTGTATTTTCGACAATACAGTGCTGCTGCTTCTACTAGAAAGTAGCAACAACTTTGTTATTCCGATTGGAATACCATGTATTTCATAAAATTCTCCCTGAAGAGCTGTTTTTATCATTATATCACACTTGGGGTCTATCGGTAATGATTACAAAGATACAGGGTGTTATTTATGAAATTATGGAGAAAAAAGTAATGAATTACCGATTGCAAGAATATCTAGAGGCAAGGAAATATCTTTACAGCCATCAATATGGCTTTCGGGGGTCATGTGATACGGACTCCGCAGTTATGGATGTTGAAACAGATTTCCAATTGCTACTGAATACAAACAACATATGTAAACTCCTATCAAATGACTTGAGGAAGGCATTTTATACTGTAAATCATGAAATTCTCTTGAATGAATTGTATTGTATTGGTCTAAGAGGTCCTGTCTACGACTGGTTTCAAGATTATTCAAGTGATAGGAAACAATTTGTAGATTTAAAAGAATTATTCAGTAAGAGCGATGAAATAGTATGCGGGGTACCGCAAGGATCAGTATTGGGTCCTATTTTATTTCTTATTCATATCAACTCAATTGCAAATTTGCAAGTTAAAAGGAAAAATTTATATGTTTGCCGATGAAATAACCTCAATCTATTCAGCAGGTTCAGCACAACAAAATAGGGATGAAATTTCAAGTGATTTGAGAATATTATTATCATGGTTATCATGTTATAAATTGGGTATAAATTATACTGAATCAGGATTTATGTTCATCTCAGAAGAATCAAGATATAATGATTATTCCAGATTTTTTGGGATTTTCTCTCCTCGTCTCTATAAAATAAAAATATGAAAACTATTTCAATATACGTGTAGTAAAGACAAATCAAATGATTTGGATGTTTTCATTAATTAATCTTGAATGTACCATTTTAATTTTCAGATTTCAGTTGTGAATACCACGTTCTATCTATATCCACTGAACAGGAAGCAATGCTATTGTCTCCGTTCAGAAGAATGCAAGCATATTCCTTGATTTTTCTCTTCTGGTTGTTATCTTCTTTTCCAATGATTTTAATATTATTCCAATCTGCCATATGTCGTCCATTTTCAGTAAGGATATATTCAGCTAGTTTCGATTTGTCGATTTGTCTTTTCTTTATATTGTATTTTTGTTTCTTCATCCTTACTGAAAGAGGTCTCTTGGTCTCACCTGTATAAAACTTTCCACAAACACTACGTATGTTCGACACAAAAAAATCCCAAATTTAAAACATCTCGATTTTTAATACCATTTATCTCTGTAATCATCAAGTCTTCAAGGAGACTCTAGGAATAATAAAGTTGCTGCTAGTTTTTAGTGGAAGCGTCAACACTGTATTGTCGAAAGTATTTAGAACAAAGAGAGCGTAACCTCAAATATAAGCATGCACATTTTCATAAATTCCTTGTGACTGATTTTCCGATAAAAAGATAAAAAGATAGTGTAAGCACCATCAACTAGCAATCGACCATACGAGAGGTCCTTCAGCCCATGTATGTTCTATGTAGGGTTTGTTACTGACTCCATACGCCACCTCAAGAACATCACTGTTAATTGAAACGCAACAGTGAATCGTGCGGAATCAACTCCGGCCGAGGCTGCGAAAATTAGAATTCATAACTAGTTGTGTAAATAAAAATTCTCCGTTCGTTGGACGTAGCTGCAACTTACAATAGCTACCCTAGGCTGCCTTTGAGACAGAATGGGGGGGAGGTGTGTCTGCGGATCTTCAACTGTCCACGCTGAACAGCTCCTTGTGTAACGCCGGGAACTCCAAATGGGGGGCAGACCGTTTCAGTTTGCCGAGGGCGTCCATATGGAGCATGCTGATTTCCCTAAAAAAAAAATCGAGATTAGTGACCTAGAATCTCAGTGCTAATAGATTGTAGTACATTTTCGTCAGCTGATGCGACCAACTGTTTCGGTTTGGCAAGTCTCATCAGTCACCCTCGGCCCGAGGATCGTCAAAAACTTATCTGTGCCATTTCTCATCGTGATGAACTTGAGAATTTCATTAATTTATGTTCAACCAATCAGAAGGTTCCTTTTTGTTTACGTTGCTTATAGAAACGGGTGATTATCGCAATAATTTTAGTAAGTTCCTGTCAACTCAATAGAATTAATGTTCGAGAAAAAATACCAACACATACCTACCGCCTGCCCCTATCCTCCCTAGTTACGCACGATGTTCTCCGAACATAATAGGAATTTCCTTTCGTGCGCTCCAAGAGATATAACAATTAGCGAATTAGTGCCTACAATCAATATCGCTCGTACATCTCTTCATTTTCATGCCGTATTTACACTTATGCAAGAACTGTATGTAGGTTTTTTTTTAGATTTCTTTAGAATGATTTTGTTTTGAATACGAGTTTAAATAACATTTTTCATTAATTGAAATAGTTTATTCCATTTAATCCATTTATGATATTTTGATTTCCATAGTGTTTCAGGCAGTAATTCATTTTCAAAATCTCTCATTTCTGTTTGGAAAACTCCGACAAAATGTCACTCAATGTAATTCAAGTTTAGCTTTAGGTCTTTTAGTAGGTACCCGGATTTCACGAGATTATTTTTTCGGCGAAGTTTAGGTCGTCGGAAACCTAAGACACTTCTATATTATATTGTCTGTTGTGTCATTCCACTTTCAATATATATTAATGGTTGTACAGAATCACCCCTGTTAGCTGTTACGTCATTAAGTTCAATTGTAGGGAATATTCCGATAAATAGCCGATTATTATTTTTCTCACAATTCCATCAAGAGTACCTTGTATTTTGACAATTTGATGAGACCATAATATGAACATTAATAATCTGAATAACTCCCGAATGCTTCAGCTCGAAGAACTTGTTCTATGATTATTTATGTTCATATGGTCCAATTGAATTGTCTCAAAATACATCTTCACACGCACAAAATTAATAGTTTTTCTGCTGGCAAAACACCAAAAGATGTTCCAGGCAGACTCTTTACTCTTATTGGTATTTTCTGATCTTGATTCGTTTACTGCTGATTTCTGTAGTGGAAGTTAACCCAACACGAGACACTTCAAACTCTGACAATCATAGCACTCTTATGCTGTCGAATAAAATAGTCGCTCATATTATGTTTGTTTACCTAAATAGCTACTGATATCGCATATCATGTGATTTCAATCATGAAATTTCATAGGTGCAGCCCGGTGTGAATGAAATAATCGATTTTATTCCTGACTATTTCCGTCATATTGCCGATCTATTGCCGAATATTTCATATCTATCGACATCTATTGCCTAAAAATTCCGAAACAATGACGCCTATTTCTGCATTTCTTCTTCAATGCCGACTATTACATTTTTCGAATAACGCCGATAATGCATATTCTTGAGAATATATATCTAACCAGACGAAGTATTACACATTAAAGATTTTATAACTTTTCATTTGACAACTTCAATATCTGAAGATACGTTTAACTGAACGCAAATCTGCTACACATGGTGCGTTCACTTTCTCTGAGACAATGCTTACAGCATAGATTAAAAATGCTTACAGCATAAGCTATATCCGGTCGTGAAGCTATCGTTCATACTACTGACAAGGATTAATTGGGCTAAAGCATAATTTTTTTTTAATAGTTTCAGATCTGAGATATATTTAATCTTTATTTCAGGAGATTCTGTTGCAGCTGGCTCAGTTGGTAGTTGCAGATCACCATTAACCACTTTAAGTACTTCATGATGTTGCAACACCAATTCAATTTGGCGTCTCCATTTCGACCAATTTGAAGCTCCTTGCAATTTCCCAATATGCGCTTTGAAATCCATAGTATCAGCTGAATGAATAATGGTACCAGAATAATAATTCCCTTTATCTTCACACGTGCACAATGAGGCAACTCCGTTTAATTAGACGCTTGCAAAAGCTGGGCCCATAACCTCTTGAGATTATATATCTAACCACAATAAGTATAGGTCGCGTGCACGATGACCGACCCTGGAGGCAAAATATTGAAACACAACCTCATTCTTCTGTGAATTATTAAAACACAACCTCACTTTTTTACTTGGTTACAGAGGAATCAAAGGATTGAACTAGTTTTTCACAATATTTTGGCATACGAATCGTGTTTTTTGCCGCTATTCATTAATTCAAGCATGCCTTAGCATTGTGCTGTTGTACAATGCACAAAAAATGCAGCAAGAGACTAAAGAATATGATTTTTCAGGTAAATAGTAATCTCACATAGTTATCATTATGAAATGTTGTCATTACTTATTAAAATTCCTCCTGCCTTCTGTCACTTCTGCAATACAAGCTAATACTGCTAATAGATTGAAAATATCTACAACACACACGATCGTCAGCATGTCAGACCAGTCCTCCCGATTGATTGCATGAATCCAATTTTCTGGCATTATTTTAGAAATTTCAGATGTATTTCTATTAGCTTCTATCGCAGAAAGAATTCCGATGAGAAATCTGAGAAATTACCAAATTTCAATAATGAAAACTATATGTGAGTGACTATAGTAGGTACTTACTTTTGAATCATATTGTACCAACCGGATTACTTCGTCTTCCGCTGCAGTTTTTGTGCATTTCACAACAGCATAATGTGATGGCATGAGCGAATTGATGAATAGCGGAAAAATACGATTCGTATGCCAAAATAATTGTGAAAAACTATTTCAATCACTTGTTAACAAATAAGTAAAGTGACGTTTGTGTTTCAATATTTTGCCTCCAGTGTCGGTCATCTGACAGTTCTTGCACGCAACCCATTTATTATACGTTGAAGTTTTTATAACTTTTTATTTGACAACTTTATTGACAACTCAATATTTCAATAATAGAAAATCTACAGAGTGCACAACTACAGTTTCTTCTTTTTCAACATCTGCTTCCAGTAGTTGCTGCTTGCTTAGATCATTTTGTTTTTTTTTAACACATATAATGCACGAAGTATTGCCATAAATTTCCGAACATTTTGTATACCTATTGTCGCCGTGTCCTCCCTCTCGGTGATTTGTTCTTTTTTGGTACCACACACTTTTTGAAATTATTATAAACAAACATTTCGCAGTTTTTTGCGAATATCTCGAAACGTACCAGGAAATTTTGTTGAATAACTCCAGATCCAGATTCAGTGACCCAAAAATCCAAGAGTACTATGATGAAATCGGCTAGATACTGGATTTTGGCAAGGAGAGAGTGTATTTTGATACCGTTTGCTTGCGACATAAAAAATTTTAGTGAATTTTCGTGAGTCGATTGTCAGCTGATGCGAGTGACTGTTTCGGTCCACCTTGTCTCATCAGTCGCCCTAGGCTCGAGCAGTGTCAAAAAAAGTATCTGTGCCATTTCTCATCGTGAGGAGCTCGATAGTCTTACCTTAGTGTGGGTATCTTCGTTAAGAGGGCATCACAAACAGTGACGTCCCCTTTGATGGGTAGACTGTGATTCCTCTCCAATTCCAGTCGAAGGGCTCTGACGACGGCCTGGCTCAGTCGTCCTATCTCTCCTATGCCCTTCAAGCCTGGTCGATCTGAAAAACGATTTGGTTTCCAAACGTGTTTTTTGATAGTAGAAATGAATTGGACGAAATAGTCGAGTCAGATTTGGTCAAATTTGGTGGGTACGAAATCATTTATTGGCTCAATGAATGTGGAATGTGGCGAATATGTATTTAGAAAAGAACATTATGTACAGAATTTTTCAAATTAGAGAGCTAAACTGAATCATCACATAACAAACTTTCCGAGGAACTGTGTGGAACTTTCTAAAACATTCTAGTACAACCTGTATTATTCTGGAAGACTCTCGATCATTCAGGAACCTTCTAAAACATCGAGGTATAGTCCAGCCAATCTCGAATTCTTTCTAAAAATTTCGGGATTGAGGAATCATGTTCTATACGCCCGAAACATACCGTTGTTGAAGTGTGATAGGAAAAAAGGGGATTACTGTAGTTTAATCAAGGTGCTTGTAATAGGAAGACAAGAATAGAACAGCAAAAAGGGCGAAGGAGCGAAAAAAAAGGGAATAGAGGGATACAATAAATATCAGAGAGAAAGGAGGAAATCTTGAAAAAACTATAGAAAAAGAAGCTAGATAGGAGTGTGTAATCCGCTCACCTGGCGAAAGCAGCACGCAGGCAGAATAGAGCGCCAGCTCTGTCTCAGTCAGCTTCAGCTCGGCCACGCCTTTGGCCACCTCGAACACGCCCGCCACCAGCTTCATCTCGTGCGTGTCGCTGGTGAAGAAGGCGTCGGAGGGCAGCATCGTGTCGCCGTACAACACGCAGTTCTGCGACAGGTCCAGGTACCGACTCATGCGGATCACGGCCAGCTCGAAGCTACCTGTTTTTTGCAGGAGAATAACAATGCATATGTGAAATTTCAGGCCAAAACATCCGGCTCGAAGGACCAATGTTTTGGTTCTTTCGAACTAATTGATTTTAGAAGTTGCTAGTGTTTCAGATTCGTTGCTTGTTCTCGAATAATCAGATAATGAGATAGTCAAATTGATCGCCCTGTATCTTTTTCAATTCTTTTCCGATTCTGATGAAATTTCGACCAAATCAAAGATTCATGTTAGCCTGGATATACTATACTACTACTTAACGCTCTGTGGCCAACGTTAGTGGTTAAACTGAGCTTCATCATGTTTCGGATTCTTATCTTATCACATAGGTGTTTCATTCACGTCGATATCTTTTTTCTAAGCGAAGATAACAATTGCATGTTTTAAGAAAGTATGGAATGTTTTATTTTTTATCAACAATAATTCAGAACGATTCTCCAACCTTCTGCTTAATCATGTTTTGGATCGAGCTGTGATCCCTTGTAGTCACGTCTTAACACATCAGTTCTTGGTTCACGTCAATATATTCCTTTGAGGGAAAATTCAAGTGTTTTAAGGAAGTATGGAATTTTCAATAACAATAATTCAGAACCTATAGTGCATCTTTGGGTTGGTCTCCAGAGGCTCAGTCGCCTTCGTCCGGCCTTCAAGAGCTACGATTCGTCCATCAAGAAGAATATGAGGCAAATCTTCAAGACTGTTTGAGAAATTTGATCAACTTGTTACCACGGCGGTTGAATGCTGTAATTCAACTTCGAGGAGGGCATACTCGTTATTGACTACATCTAGGAGGTCTGCTTCTCATTTGTTATTAGTAAATAAGGTTTCTCTCTACTGGTGAGTGCTCAAAAACAAGGTAGAAATGAGTGATGTAATGAATGGATGAGTTGTTGATTGATAAGTTCATGTAGGTTCTGCAAATTTGAAATATCCATACTTTCTTGTGACACATGTATCTTCTCTTAAAAAAAGATATCGACGTGAATCAAGAACCATTGTATTAAATAGAGATCACACTACAATCCAAAACATGATGAAGCTCATTTTAATTGCTTCCTTTCGCCACAGGGCGTTGAGAAGTTGAGCGTGAAATAGTTACTTTAGGTTTTCCCTATAAAATAATCACACCATTAGCTCTTTTTGGGAACTGAAATTCGAGTTAACATTCCGAAACATCAATCAACGATTTGGTCAGAAATTCACCAGAATCGAAAACAAAACTTCAAACCAGAAATGTTCGCTCAGCAAGGATTTTTGAAAAACCGCTAGAGTAAACTACCCTTCTGAGGGGGTGAACTGGAATTATTTTACAAGTAGCAACTAGTTATTCAGTCAAATACCTATATTATCGAATATGAACGAAAATGTCCGGTCAGCAAACTTTAATTTTGGTCAGCAAATTATATTTTCCCACATTTGGACTCGCCTGGCACCTACTTCTGCTCATCAAAATCGCATGTCAATTTTTTTCTTCATTTTTCAATATCTAAATAACATCATGATGAAGTTTCAAGTTTACAGCGCCAAGTTTATTTTTTTAATGATGTTCACACTTTAAAGTATATGGGAGATGGTGACGTGCAAGGGTGAGGCCTGCCAGGTCATGGTTTTCTTACTTAACACCCTTTGATCCACCACTATACAAATTTCTAGCCTTACAGACAAACCGTTATATAAAAGATTCACGAGCTCTCCAGCTATTAGCTATCTCTGTGTATATTTCATACTATTTGACGTATGGTCTCAGTAGAGCAATGTCTGCTGACGTCACAACATGGCGCACTCGTCGTTTTCATCAGCTGATCGGGGGACAAACAAAGCTGTGTGTGAATTTTGATTTTATTATTCCTGACCCATTGGTGATTTTGTTGAACTTGTAGATATTATACAAGAAGAATTTCTACATTTTCTTCCAAAATGAGTATCTATTAAGTTATATTAGGAGGTATATTAGGTATATTAGAGCTGAACTCAAGTAAATCCAGTAATTTAAAATTGAGAAAGAAACCAATTTGAACTCTTCTTTGGACTCATCCACTTCTCTCACAGGATTCATGATGTATGAATTAACAAACATGTCAATAAATAAATGCTCCAGGTATTGTCTTTTAGTGGTAAATGTGCAAGAAAATTACATGTACCCTTATGGAAAATGTGTATGCTTGTCCCCCCATCAGGTGTTCAATGGCCGACAATTTTACGTCATATGACGTCACTGACAATGCTCAACTGAGGCAGAGCGTTACCACCGATACAACAAGGCCAGCAGACTCTGACGTAAACAGCTCGTGACGTCACCAAGAGAGGCCAGTGTTTTATTTTATCGCTTGTCGACTAACGCGTCAGTTCGTGTTAATTCATCGGTGATTCACGTATGTTTTTGAAACGGTCCCGAATTCTTTTGTTGTTTATTCATCAAAATAATTGGCGGAAAAATAACTGTTTTGTGAAATATTTTGTGTTGTGATCGTCGAAATAACAATGCCTTTCAAGTGTTGTGTCTCCTTTTGTCGGGGGAATTATGTGGGTGGTTCAAAAGTTCATGCTTTTAGTTTCCCGTTGGACGAGGAGCTATCGAAAATGTGGGTATATGCAATTTACCGCGAGGATTTTACTCCATCTAAGTTCAGTAGTAAACAGAGCTTAATTTATAATGATGAATTAATAATAGAGGACAATTACTCTCTCATAAAAAGTATAGGTAGAGGAAAAATAGAAAAGCTTTGATTGTGCAGTTAGTTTTGTATTCGTATATTATAGTCAACAAAATCATCTCTGAATTCGAGGAAATTTTCTTGAATGTTCATAATAAACGGGCATTTTTAATTCTCATTCTCAAATTTCTTTCTGAAAATGGTCATTTGCCTCGTGGCAATGAATGCAGAATTCATTCCAATGATCAAATTGCAACTATCATATTAACATGAACTACAAACACTCTACTTAAAAAGGTAAAACTGCATTTATCATGATATTTATCATGAAGATATTTGACTAAAAAGTTCCAAATTTCACCTTCTTTTTCACCTGTCTTCTGGATGGCATTTAGAACAAATGTCCCTTATTTTTTCATCATATTGGACAATTTATATATAATTCAACTATAAATATGATTTTCTTGAGATTAATCCATATTTAGTGAAAAGAAGGAAGAATATCATTCAAAATAATGGCGTGTGTAATGTCATTCGAGAGCAATCTATTGACATTTGACATCTCGTATTTTGATTGACTATTGATTAAATGGTCGTCATCTGGAATGCTTGTTCACTAAATATGAAAAACTCGCCATAAAAATCATATTTCCTGTTGAATTTTCTATATAAAAATGTGCCATCGAAGTACATCATGGGTATATAAAGTGTCCAATGACAAAATAAGAGCAAGTAGCTTCAAATGCCTCCAGAACAAGGGGAGAAAGAAGGCGAAATTTCGAACTTTTTCTTGAAATATCTCAATAAATAGTGGTTTGTTCACATTTTCATTATAAAATTCGGTTTATCAGACAAAAATACGTGAGTACCGAAAAAAAACTTAAAAAAAAACCATCGCATTATAAATGCAGTTTTACCCTTAACAATTACGGTTTCAAGTGTAACGATCCACTTGGGTGAAAAATCCAACAACAGAAAATTGAAAACACTCACTGGTTATTTTTTCAGGTAATAGGAATTCTCCAAGATAAATATAGGCAATTGTAACAAACGGCATGTCAATCAAAATAAAATACATTTTCCACAATTTTCTTTCGATCAATCTCACGATAAGTTTATGTTCTGCGGGCCCTGTATAAGTAGGTGTGAAGTTTACCTTCACCACAATTTTTGCCAATATATTTAATTCAAATGGGTTGCTGTAGGTGGATATTTGTGTTTTATCCTGGTTTTTGCTTGAAAACTTCGTTTTCCATAATAAAATCGAATGGGGTGCGAAGAAGGGCTCAGTTGACGACTGGCATCCTTTTTTAACCGGAAGCCCTTCAAAAAACAGCAAAATCGGCTCAATGATGATCTAAAACTAAAATCGAAATACGCGGTCGCCTTATAGCGCTATAAGCGCTTGTCGTTTCGAGCCGCTAGTTAGGCCTCACTAAGTGACGTCACCCACGGAGCATGCAGGCCTTGTTGTATCGGTGGTAACGGGCAGAGGCACCGTCAACGAATATACTCACCGGCCTTGAGCAGCACGATCTGGTCGTCCTGCGACAGCTTCATGAAGCCGGGCACCATCTTGGCGAACTCGATGATCTGCTGGATGACGGTGGTGAGCTTCTGCGCGCACTCCAGCCACAGCTCCTCGTGCGCCATGTTCTTGTAGAAGAGGAGGCGGGAGAGGTCGTGCGGCTTGCGGAACGTCTCGCGGATGTGGTCCAAGGTGTAGAGGCAAGTGCGCGCATGCGCGTCGGATATCGTCTTCGACAGCAGCTCGGATATCTGGCTGGGGTCTGAGGAGAAGGAGATATAGGATGTTATACACCTAGGGTGAGAACTGACCTATAATATAACAACCACTTTGTGCTTGTATGTTGAATGTCGGGCCACCCTTGTAACTTCTGCATTCGTGAACGGATTTTTCTGAAATTTGGTACAGTTATACCGCAAAAAAAAATCTTAATATTCTGGTGCATCACTCAGTACCTGAGAGTGATTGAATCGGTATCATTAGGGTCCCTTGATGCAAACTGACGTATTCGTCATCTAACAGGGTACGGATAGATCATAGCTCCTTTCTCTTCCAATCATCTAATGATTTTGGTTTCGTGTATTGGCGTCCCTGACATGACATTGCTGTCACGTCATATTCATAGGCGTTGAAAGGTTGAAAGAGATCTTACAAAATTTCAATTTCATATTTGATCTCAATACGACATTATTTAATTCTGTTTGGGAAGGATGGTAAAATGTGCTGCGTAAGGCTGTATCAATCAATCAAGCTTTCCATCAAATGCAAAGGAACTTAGAACATAGAAAGTGAAGTGACCGAATGGAGAAAATTGGTAAATACATCAGCAAAATATTCAAGGTAAAACGAATACGAAATCACATATTATACTTTCTCATTGTGCCTATAATCATCCATTCCACAAGTTTTTGAATGCATTTTAGTAGAAACAGTTTTGATTAAAACGGAGAAATAAAAGAAGAGGCATATGCCCTACCATTTAGAAAATTATACATACATTCAGGAAATACTGAGTGTTCGTGAAATACTGCAACATGAATATATACAGCAGACATGACATATGAGCACATTAGTTTGAATACCTACATACAATTTTTCACTATTTCTCAACTATAGGGCTTAGTCCGATATCAAAATTCATTTATCGATAGGTACTGCCTTAGAACAGTCCCATTTGGTAAACGTATTGAACTTTCAGAAAAATTTGCTCACTGTCTCACAAAGATTATGCTGGAGTTGAAAAATCAAAAACTCGAAAATTATCATCATCATTTGGATATAATATGTAGAGTTGAATGAGAAATTTCATGTGGAAATTACGCATGATACGCCAATGTCCTCAATATAACCTAAAAAAAGACAAATGTCAGAAATCTAGTGTTTATCCCCAGAAATGAATAAAGATAGAACCATATAGCTGTTTCACAAACACTTTAGAGAGAGAGGAGACGAGGATTTGTCCGTACCCTGTTAAGATGACAAATACTTCAATTGACATCGAGGGACCCTAGGTATCATTATTCATAATTATCATTCTGACTCCCAGTGGCACCGTTAAGGGGTATTGATGTGTGATTTTTCAGAAAAAAACATGGGTGGCGATGTAACTTCCCGAAATTTTATTCGAAAATATAAAAAAGTATACAATTATGTAGACAATAGGACCAAGTGTTGGTCGTAAGGATTCAATGTTTTCGAGAAAAACCGATACAATAATAAAATCATGATATAAAAGTTAGATGCCCTTGCCGCCAAGGACAGATAGAGAGACCACGCCCACACCACACCCATACCACGCCCAAACCATGCATACACCACGCCTTTATATCTATTGATAGCACTTCTAGACTATTGGGTGGGGTCAAAATGAGATTTGGTATAGGTAAATGGTATCTGATGATGAGACTTTTCGCATATTTCTTCACTTTCTGATCACTTTTGGTTTCACGTTGAATGGCTCCGATTTTGAATAAATGGAACACCCAGAATATTATAAAATTTTTGGATAACTCAGACAATTCTATATCAGAATATGACATTTTCATAATGTTTTGCGCCTACCTACTTAATTTAGTCAAACCTAATATTGCATCTAGCTGGCCATGATCGGACGTAAACCAATCTAAAGAACTCAGGTGATGTCAGAAAAGTAGAATCGCAAAGTTTTAGTAACTAGAAGTATGATAGATAGGAATATAAGACATGTTCTCCATATTTAAAAAAACCTATTTACATACTATTTACCTATATCAAAACACATCTTGATACACCTAATATACTAGAACTTATAATCTGCCGACGAAATTATGAATGGAAATATGGTCAAAAATATAGGGCGATTCACGTAGGCCACACATTAGAAGTTTTCCAATTCGCAGTTGGATAAAAAACTCGAACATTTCCATGATGTTATAATCTGTCATTTTCCATTTTCTAGGAATATTTTCATTCCTTCAGCTATAGAATCTCGCCATAATTCCTGTCCTGTCTGTGTTCTTCCTAACGAAAATGAATCTAAAGTTAGATATTCTTTTTTCACGCATGAAATATGCATTTTTTTGGGGAAAAAAGTAAGCCTTCAGCTTCAACATCTTATAGAAAATCGTTAAAAATACTGTATCATCTCCCATTTGATGCACCAAACAATCAATTGTATGAAATAACAAATACGTATTCTTTAGATGGAATATATAGAATTGAAACTCTCAAAATTTTATACAATATCATGAATAATAAAATTGAAGTCGAATATTATTTTGATATGAAATTCTGAAATTCATAATCATGCAACTAGACAATATAACTTGTTTCATCTTGACGCCGCTAGCTCCATAGTCGGACAAAAAAGATTCACTCATTCAGCCTTAACTGAGTTCAATAAACTACCTGTCAATTTCAAAATCTGCAGGAATTTATATAGGTACATTCAGAAATAGAGTAAAAAAAACGGATTATTAGGTACTGAGCGAACTTGATAAAATTAATCATGTTATTTTACTATGTTTTTCCTACAATACACTGAGGGAAAGGTTTTGTTATGATGAATAAAAAGATTTGTTTGAGTATGCTTCGTTGAGAATCGACGCCATCATCTTGTCATCAATATACCTTATTAAATACAACCATGTAATTTGTAAATGAATCGTTGACCGAAAACAAATGATTCGTTAGGAGCTAATTCTTTCAATATCAACCTATGTTTTCAGGAGTAACTTCCATGAGTTTGTCACAAACCTGTTTGTTATATCCAAACTTTCTGGAATCTTACTCTCGAACTACCATTTATTAACTTCTAACAAATTTTCTCCACAGTTTAATTGCATCGAAAATAATAAATTGTTCTTAAGAGGAACCAATTATTTGTTATAAAATGATTGACGTTCTCATGACGTAGTGATATTATCTTCGGCGCATGCCCGAGGTTGGAATGCAGTAGGTAGTCGTAGTCATCATGTTAGACTGCAAAGGACGCATATAGTTATCTACCTATCATACAAGGGAAAAAAGTTGTAGATTTTATCTCGAGGTTCTGTTGTCAGAGATGGAATGTTTACCTGTAGGTATATGATTTTGTACTTCCTTATACCAGATCCTGTTCTGTCTGGAAGTTATTTGTTCAATAAATAAATAGAGGAATATTTAAATAACAATTTCCAGGTTTTCCATCCGAATATTGCAAGTTGTACAGCTTCTAATGTGTGGCTTTCGTAAATCACCATGTATGTTTTTTTATTATTACAAAGACAGTCATTCAGTTCCATAACCACTAGACCACTACGGAATCCTCATCACACCCTCGAAACAAAAGCATCGTTAGTACCAAAAGCACAGTACATTATCCTTAATGAGACAGTAAGATCACTTAGCGTCGGGGGTTTATAGGTATTTCATTTCTAGAGAGAAAATGAACATGAAAATATATCAAAAAACTGAATGAGTAGCACAAATTTCGACTCATAATCAATATAATCCCAACAACAAAAAAACCTGATTTGAAGTTCTGGACACAATGTAAATACAGGGTGTTTGAATTTTCGAATTTGAAAATTGTAACTTTAGCGCCCACTGAGACACTTTGTTGAATAATTATTATCTTTATACGTAGAAATTATGAACATTTTGAACAATTTCTATGAAATACTGACTTGAATTACAAAAATTTGAATTTTGTCGAAACCATGAGAGTAATGGAATTTTATCAGGAGTATTTTTTTATAGTGAACAAGTTACGCAATCCAAATTTCATATTCAAACCCCTTTCTTTCCATTGTCGTGGAAGTGTTAGATGTTTATTCACTGAAAAAATCAAGTTCTACGCCCATGGAAAATTATTCATCATAATCATGATATGGGTTTCATTGTCCATTGAAGCTATGCTAACGTACCAAATTTGAGTAGAATCTCATGAGCCATCTCAAAGTTATGAAGCGAAACCGATTTAGAAATTGTAACTTCAGAGCCATCTAGCGCCCACACTAAGCAACTTTGTACTGAGGTAAGTTTGCTCGTATCGAATTGATTTAGTCTCAGGAATATATGATTAGTTTCTGTAAAGACCTTTTAGGGACACCCTGTACATCATTGTCAGGATATTACGAAAGAGTCTAGACGTCACGCAATCAAAATACTTTTTCGTTTCAATATATTGAGAGAAAAAAAGTTAGTTATCGATATACAGTGTGGTCCGGTTTGTGATATGAAAAATTCAACAGTGTGTTGAACTCGTTGAAATAATGAAAAAAGTTCATATAACCATATACTTTTAAACGCGTCGTTTTCGAGATATAGGGTGTTGAAAATACGAGTCTGAATATTGTTTTTTGATGAAAAGTTCGAGAAGGTTTGGGATAAATCAACAAAATTTCTCACATATGCTAAACTTTTTACGCTTCATGAGATGAAATAAAAATTATTTCAAAAAGTAATTCAGTGGCGGCTGAATCTGGAGTTTTTGATGCGTTTCGCCGTTTTCGAGTTAAATCGGTTCAGAAATATAGTGAAATTTTCAGTTAAATCATAATATTTGATTGAAATGGAAACAAGAGTGCTATGCTCACAGTTTCATATCGGAGAGCGTAAAAAGTTTAGTGTCTGTGAGAAATTCTGTTGATTTATCAACAGAAAATAATATTCAGACTCGGATTTTGAACACCTTATATCTTGAAAACGACTCGTAAAAGTACATGGTCATATCAACTTTTTTAATCATTTCAACGAGCAGAACACACTGTTGAATTTTTTGTATTACAAACCGGACCACTCTGTATATCGTTATTCGATACATCAATATTTCCTCCTAGGCCTAGTGCTGAGCCTCTTCGAACATAAAGCTCGACTGAGCTACTGCGCATCGACCGCGAGTTCCAACGCATAAGCAGAGACTCCCCTCGCCGAACGTCTATGAGACCATTTATGAGACTAAGCCTCCAGGATAATGTACTGTGCCGAAAGGGACGACAGTTAGAAAAGGAGGAGGCACCGACGACTTACTGGGCAGGGCTACCGACTCACAATCGTCCCGCTGCTGCACCGCCTGCGCCGCGGCCACGCCCCCCTGCTGCTGCGGCGAACCGACGAACGTCGTGCTGTCCACGTAGGCGGGGACTAGCGCGTCCGCCGTCCCCTCCTGCTTCACCGACACCAGCGAGCCGCCCGATAGGCTGGCCGCCGACCGCTTGAAGTTGGAGAGGGGGGCGTGCTTGGTGGTGGTCGGCTGGCCGTTCGACCCGCCTCCGTCGTCCCCCCCACCACCGCCACCGTTTGTGTTAGTATTGCCTGGGGGCAGCAAGATGTGCAGGCGTGAGTGTCGAGGCTACGCTTGATGCAAGGTCATGCAAGGACTAGCTGAACATCCCCGTTTCTTTTTATATGGAGAAATAGCTGTTTGCGCGTTGTACGCTACTTACTAATATACAGGGTGTTAACAAATAAGTGTCACAACGGAAAACTGTAGATTCCTCATAAAAAAAGAAACATTTATTTCCTTCTCGAAATTTTTCTCCGGGCTTTCGTTTTCAAGATACAGGGCGTCAAAAGATCAAAAATGTTCAGTTTAATTTAACAAAATTGACGACTTACAACACTGAATGAACTTAACAATTTGAAAATCAGCATACTCAAGAACCTGACATTTGATTGAACATTTTATTCGATAGTTTTGAGGTGTTCATTTCCAAAGGATTTTTAGATGATTTTTGGAGATACCAGGATTTTGTATGTTTTTATTCATAAAGAGCCATTTTTCGTGAAAACTGTTCACTTTAGAGCATTGAGACAAGAGGACGTTTTTTGTGTAAAAGATATTGGCGCTTCAGAATCTACTTTGAAAATTACAATTTCTCCGGTGGAATATAAATGTTTGGGGGGTTAAACCCATACGAGGCGTTGGATTCTCTGCCACTGACGTGTCCAAGGGAATTGATCAAGAGGTTTAGAAGTAGTCATTATTAATGATGAAGTGTGTACGAAGGCTTAACTCCGTAGCTCAAACGGTTCCTGAGATAGTAGCAGGAAACTGATTTTTTTTTTCATTTTTTTGACGCCCTGTATCTTGAAAACGGAAGCCCAGAGAAAGATTTCGAAAAGGAAAAAAATGTTTTCTTTTTCATAAGGAATCTACAGTTTTTCGTTGTGACACTTATTTGTTAACATCCTGTATAAATTTGAAGGGAAGACAGTAGTAGTAAGTAATTTTATTGAATATAGCTGACATGGCAAACGTTGTTTTACTATGTACATTCTTTCAATATTTCATTTTCAACTTTCCTTAGTTTTTTAAACTACTATTTATTGTCTACTTCTTATTAGTTTGGTTATCTATGAAAGCGTGTTTTATCCTCGGTTTTATCAGTTTTTTGAAACACCATTTCTCAAAAAGCTCGTTCGACATATTGAATTCGCCATCTTGAATGTTCTAATTATGACGGAGGAACCATAATCTCCTACTCCGAAAATCCTCAGATACCAAATTTAAATAGAATCGGATTTTCATTAATAAACTTGTATGCTGTATAAGATCTGCCATCTTGAATTTTCTGAATTTGACGAAAGAATCATAATCTCCGAACCCAAAATCCCCTAGATACCAATTTTGAACAGAATCGAATCATATTTACAAAAGTCGTCCACGATATTGGATCCGCCATCTTGAATTTTCAAATTTTGATAGAATAACCATGATCTCCGACCCCGAAAATCCTTAGATACCAATTTTGAATATAATCGGGTCATAACTACAAAAGTTTTCCACTATATTGGATCCGCCATCTTGAATTTTCGAATTTGGAGGAAAGAATCATAATCTCCGACACCTAAAACCCCCAGATACCAAATTTGAATAGAATCGGAACATAATTACAAAACTCGTCCGCCATATTCGATCAGCCATCTTGTGATTTCCAATTTTGACAAAAGAATCATAATCTCCGACCCCAAAAACCCCCAGATACCAATTTTGAATTGAATCGGATTATAATTACAAAACTCGTCCGCCATATTTGATCCGTCATCTTGAATTTTAAATGTTTTTCTCTCATAACAACCTTCTCCTGACAATAACAAACACAAAGAAAAAAGATTTAGTGAAGTCAGTCAAGCCGTTTTAGGATTCTATAAAGGACATACAAACAATAAGTCTTATACAAGGTGAATCTGAAAGTGAGTTTTTTTTCAACAGGATATATATCTCACCAAGACAAGTTGGTTGGCAAAAAATTACTTATATACAATGTTTAAGATAACGGAGGTACAGTTATTTAATGGTTTAGAGAAGACTCCAACTATGAAACATTTTGTTTACATTTTCTCAAAAAAAAAAACGCAAAAAAAGCCGTTATTAGTCCAGCATTAGATACCCTACAGTTGCATTATTTCATCAGAAACACTAATCAAGAACCTCTCTTTACATTTTCAACCTATTAATTATCGTTTTGAAGTGAATCAAAAAACTTTAGGAGGGAAATAACGCATGAGGCCAAATAACTTATTTTGGCGAGATTGTATACCATGTTGAATAAAAACCTCACTTTCAAATTCACCTAGTACATACAGATAAAACATTGTTCGAAGGTATATCGTGTTTCTCCCTCCAAGTTGGCTTGAGGAATAAAGTTTAGAGCTGTAAGGTCAGGGGAACTTGCAGCCTTTTTTCTACTCTAATCATCATCATCATGTTAGCCTTGAAGAAAAAAGCAAGAGCTAATTGGTCAGGTGACCTTGGAGTGTAGCTCTAGTATTCAGTATTCAGCTCTAGTACTCAGAAATATAGGCTACAGGAGCTTCATGTGAGTTGAAGAATGATGAAGAGATCATTCTTTGAGCAGCGAGGAAAAAGTAAAGAGCTAATTGGTCAGGAGACCTTGAAGTCTAGCTCTAGTATTCAAAACATTGGCTACAGGAGCGTTATGTGAGTTAAATAAGAATGAAGAATAGAACAGTGTTCAATGATATATCGTGTTTTTCTCTTCAATTTGGCTTGAATAATAAAGTCTGGAGCTGTTAGGTCAGAAATTCAGAGACAGAATAGGCTGTTTCTTCTTCCTACACAGATTATCATGTGAGCCTTGAATAAAAAAGCAATATCTAATAATTAGTCAAGTGACTTTGAAATATAGGTCTAGTATTGAGAGGCGTGTGAAGTTCCTAAAACATGGACTACAGGAGCGTTATGTGAGTTGAAGAAGAATGAAGAATAAAGAATAGAACATCATTTAATAGTATATCGTATTTTTCTCTGTGAGTTAGCTCGAACAATAAAGTCTGGAGCTGTTAGGTCAGGTGAACTTGCAGTCCAGCTCCTGTATTTAGAGACAGAGTAGACATTTTCTTCTTCCTACTCTAATTATCATGTGAGCCTTGAATACAAAAGCAATATCTACTTGGTCAAGTGACCTTGAATTCTAGCTCTAGTATTGAGAGACATGTGGAGCTCCTGAAACTTTTACTACAGGAGCGTTTTGTAAGTTGAAGAAAAAATGAAGAATAGAGCATAGTTTAATAGTATATCGTATTTTTCTGTTTGAGTTGGCTTGTGTAATGAAGTCTGGAGCTATTAGGTCAGGTGAACTTGCAGTCCAACTCCTGTATTCAGAGACAGAGTAGGCATTTTATTCTTCCTACCCTTATTATCATGTAACTCTTGTTGAGAAAGAGCAAGAGCTAATTGGTTATAAGACCTTGAATTCTAGCTCTAGTATTCGAAGACATGTGAAGTTTCTGAAACATTGACTACAGGAGAGTTAGCTATGTCAGTAGAAGGAGAAAGAAGAATAGAACATTGTTTGAGGGTTTATCGTGTCTTTCTCTCAAAGTTGGCTCAAATTATGAAGTCTAGAAATGGTAGGACAGAAAAACTTGCAGTCCTGCTTTTGTGTTCAGAGACAGAGTAGGCTGTTCCTTCTTCTTACTCTAATTATAATGTGCGAGCCTTGAAGAGAAGTCTAGCTCTTGTAATCAGAGACAGGAGCGTCCTGTTAGTAAAAGAAGAATGAAGAGTACAACATTGTTTAATGGTATATCGTGTCTTTTTTCTCCAAGTTGGCTTGAACAATAAAATCTGGTTGGCTGTTAGGTCGGGAAAACTTGCAGTCCAGCTCGTGTGTCGAGAGACAAAGTAGGCATTACCTTCTTCTTATTCTAATCATCATGTGAGCCTCAAGGAAATGAGCAAGAACTAATTGGTCAAGTGACCTTGGAGTCTATCGCTAATATTCAGATGCATGCAGAGCTTCTGAAACATTGGCTACAGGACCGTAATATAAGTTAACAAAAGGAAGTAACGTCAAGCATCTCTGTACAATGAGTTTTCCTTATTCATCACACAGAAAGAAGGGAGCTGTTCCGTTAGTCCTTGCTACACCATCTAACCCTATCGGCTTACCGGTGGTGACCATGCTGGTCATGAGACCGCCGTTGTCGGTCAGCTGATCCATTCCGGGCCGCGGGTCGTACGCCGTAGTACTGTCCACGTAGTCGGCCGAAATGTCGTAGCCGATGCTGTTTGACTGCACCTGCGTCTGGCCGGTGTAGTACGAGGTACTGTACGCGCCTATGTCCGTGCTGTAGGGGTATCTGCAACAGGATTCAACAATGAGGCTCGTAACTCGTGAGATCAACAGGTGGCAGAACATTGGCTTTTGATTGGATCAACAGGTGATAAGACAATGGTTTTAGATTGAATCAACAGGTGGTGAAACATTAGTTCTGGATCGGATAGACAGATGACAAAACAATGGTTTTGGATTGTATCAACAGTTTTAATCTTCTCCTGACGATGCTAACATAGTTAGCGAAACATGTGTCGAGGAGTGTGAAAAATCGGTTTGGTTAGTGGTAAAACAGTGTAGTGATTTATCTTGCCTAAGGTTCCAGTCTTCGATATAGCACAACATTGGTTTTGAACTGGGAAAACAAATGAAAAAACCATGGTTTCGAGTTGGATCAATAAGTGATGACATCAGCAAATTGCAAAACATTGGTTTTGGTTCGGATCAACAGGTGGCAAAACATTGGTTTTGGATTGAATCAACTGGTGGTAAAACACTAGTTGTGGATTGGATAGAAGGATGGCAAAACAATGGTTTTGGATTGTATCAACAGGTGGCACAACATTGGTTTTGAACTGGAAAAACAAATGACAAGTAGCAAAACATTGGTTTTGGATCGGATCAACAGGTGGCAAAACATTGGTTTTGGATCAACATGTGACAAAACAATGGTTTTAGATTGAGTCAACAGGTGGTGTGAAATTAGTTTTGGATCGGATAGACAGATGGTTGAACATTGGTTTTGGACTGGAAGAACAAATGACAAAACCATGGTTTCGAGTTGGATCAATAGGTGATGACATCAACAAGTAGCAAAACATTGGTTTTGGATCGGATCAACAGGTGGCAAAACATTGGTTTTGGATTGGATCAACAGGTGACAAACAATGGTTTTATATTGATCAACAGGTGGAAAACATTAATTTTGGATCGGAAAGACAGGTGGCAAAACAATGGTATTGGATTGTATGAACAGGTGGCACAATATTGGTTTTGGACTGGAAAAACAAATGACAAAACCATGGTTTCGAGTTGGATCAATAGGTGATGACATCAACAAGTAGCAAAACATTGGTTTCAGATCGGATCAACAGGTGACAAAACAATGGTTTTAGATTGAATCAACAGGTGGTGAAACATTAGTTTTGGATCGGATAGACAGATGGCAATACTATGATTTTGGGTTGTATCAACAGGTGGCACAACATTGGTTTTGAACTGAAAAACAAATGACAAAACCATGGTTTCGAGTTGGATCAATCGGTGATGACATCAACAAGGAGCAAAACAATGGTTTTTGATTGAATCAACAAGTGAATATAAAACTATGGTTTCGAAATCAATCACAGGTGACGAGATAATTACTTTAATCAGATAGATAACAAACCGATGGTATTAGGTTAGATCAACAGGCGATAGCAGAACAATTGTTTTGTTGGATTGGGACAAAAGATGACAGAACAATGTTTTCAATTTGGATGAACATGTGAAAGCGATGGTTTTGGATTTTGAACTACATTAGATCAAAAGGCAGCAAACCAATGAGTTATAATTGAATCAACACGTGCAAAATAATGGTAATGAAACAATAGTTGCAAGTTGGCCCAAAAAGAATAAACATTAATTTTTTATAGGATAAATAGTCGTATATATTCGATGAACAGGTAGCAAACCGATGGCAAAACGATGGGTTTGGACTCGATCAACAGATTCCAAAACAATATATTCGGATTGGATCAACAGATGGCAAAACAATGATTATAACAGATCATTAGATGATTTAACTATGGTTATAGATTAGATCAACAATTGTTAGCAGAACGATAGTTCTGGATTGTTTGAACAGGTGATAGGTAGAATAGATAGTACGATATGTAGTTTTTTATTGTATCAAAAATTGGCAAAATTATTGTATTTACTATCATATCAACAGGAATATCTGAGTTACGGTTTTGACTTGGATCATCAGGTGGCATATTGATGGTTTTGCTTGGAACAAGGGAGACGTGATGGCAAAACAATGGTTTCGAATTCGATGAACAGATGGTAAAACAATAGTTGCAAGTTGGCTCAAAAAGAATAAGGAAACAATGAATCTTAATTGTTTCTACCGGTGATGGCAAAACAATGGTCTTTGATTGAATCAATAGTCGAAAAAATAATAAATAGCAATCGTATCTATGATGGTAAAACAATGGAATCAATAGGTAAATATGAAACGATGGTTTTGGATTGAAGTGGTTTGCCAGGTGTTGGAGAAATAGTAGTTTATATTCGATCAACAGGTACCAAACCGATGTTTTTTCATTGGATCAACACGGAGCAAAACGATGGGTTGGGACTCGATCAACAATATATTCGGATTGGATCAACAGATGGCAAAACAATGGTTATCACAGATCAACAGACAATTTAAATATGGTTATAGAATAGATCAGCAGAACGATGGTTCTGGATTGTTTGAACAGGTGATAGGTAGAATAGGTATAAACAGTTATATCAACAGGGATATCTGAGTTACGGTTCTGGCTTGAATCAACAGGTGGCAAAATGATGGTTTTGCTTGGATCAAGAAAGAAATGATGGCAAAACAATGGTTCTGGACTGGATCATCAGGTAGCAAAATAAAGTTTTCAGGATGGACCAACAGGTGAAAAAGCAACGGTTCAATATTGGATCAACAGGTGATAGATAATAAGACAATGGCTTCGAATCGAATCAACAGGTGAATATGAAAGGATGGTTTTGGATTGAATTGGATCTCCAAGTAATGGTGAGACGATGGTTTCATTTTCGATCAACAGGTGGGTTGGATTTTCAGGTGACAAATTGTTGTAGGTAGATGGAAAAACGTTCTTGTGGAGGTGATTACATAAAAGTGATCCTAAAAATGAACAAATAGGAGATCTGAAATGATACATCAACAGGTGGCAAAATTGCTATGGACAAGGAAGGAATATAATGGATCAGAAAAAGACATAGGTGGGTTATTTGTGATTATGCTTACCCTCCATTATAGCTGGTGTGCAGATGATCAGGGGTAGACTGGGTAGGGGGTTCGAACACAGAACTGTCCGGCGCTGAGTCGTTCTGAGCCCTCAGCTGCGCTCTGTGGAACCTAACTTCGTCTTCGACCTTCTCCCTCTGCTTCTTGGACATCCGACCGAACTTGACGGCTGTGGAATTTGGAGAAAAAGAGCTCAGGTCAGTTTGGAAACGAACTGAGTAGTAATATTTTTGTGCTTCAGTGCAAAAATTGCTCACCATGTCACAGTGAAAAAATAGTTATTTATTATACAAGGGAAAAAAATAAGTAGTAGATTTTAGCTCCAGGTTGTGTTGTAGCGGAGGAAGACAAAAAACCGTGAGCTGAAATCTAATATTTTTCCCGTGTATAATACACTTTCTTTTTTGTGACAGAAGGAAGGATGAATCAATATTGAGAAGATATTACATTATTTTGAAATCTGAAAATTATCGACGTGAAATTTTAAGTTTTTAACAGTAGGGACACCTGCGTTGTCGGCATCTTTATCATTCTTTTGAAGTAATCAAATATCTGATGTCACTTCTGTCAGTCTAATTCTGTGATTTGATTTAAAAAAATTATTGTGAATTTAGTGGTTGTTTAGTAATATACGTAACCGCGAAGTCGGATGGAAGATAAACGGACTTGCAGTTCTTTCTCGGAGACGGTATTATTGACTCATTTTTCGGAACTATAGCACAAAAAAGCCATCAACAGTCTATATATATATGTGATATGTATCCGGGTAAAAAGTACTCACTTTTTTCCCACGGGCAAAAAATAATTTATGAAAAGTGACATTTCATAACCTGCCAACAGAGATGAAATGCCAAACTTTTTTCCAGTCACAGAAAAATAGTATATTGTTTAAGGAGCACGGAATGATAGTGATTTCCTACGACAACTTCAGCATGAGCCATGGACGTTAAGTTTTGCTTCAAAGAAGATCAAAAATTTACGTAAAGTAATTTGATGATATTTCAATAGATGACTTTGTCATTATTCTAGTACTGAAAAAACCAACTGATAGTTATTTTTGTATCTAGTGCGCAAAATGCTACTTTCGTGATCGAGAACTGATTTTTTCAACGAGGCGTAGCCAAGTTAAGAAAATTGTCGAGGATAGAATAGAGATATTTGAAATTTCAGATTGAATAACTAACATCCTATGATAGATAAATAGATATGAAATATCGAGTTCAATTTTGTACGGAGGTATTTCAGGTATGCCTGATATTGATATTTCGACCTCTTCAACAAACAAAAGTAGGCCTTGAAAATCAGAATATTTCAGATTTGTCAACATTTTCGATTAGAGGTCGATGAGTACTATATTCTAGAATATATACTTTTGTAAATCGGTCGACATGTTCCAAATTATATAGGAGGGTCTTGCGGGTTGAGATTGCACACACCGAATGTAAAATTGGGATAGAAACAACTTTTATCAGTGAACTTTCTTGAAATTCAAACAAATAAGCCTATTTTCAGCGATTAATTTGAACAAACGTAAGTTTTGACCGAGTAGTCATATTTGTAAAGCAAAACTGAACGTCTAAGTCTAATTTCGAAATAATTTATTATAAACAGTTTTTCCCACATGATTACGACTTTATGAATGACACTGTATATAGGTCTCACTTATATTTTATCCGGAGGAATGGATGTGGGTATAGATAGAATGTGTAAATTTTCAATAATATTGCGATATATAATATTTCTGTTGATGTCTTTTGAGATAGAATGTTGAAGTTTTTGTACAGGGTGATTCACCATAAATGTCCCCCCTCTAGCAGTTATTTTTGTAGAGATTTCAACATTTGAAATATCATCTCAAATGATTTTCGATAAAGTTTTTTTCCGCTACATCAAAAAATACAGGGTGCTCGAAACAAATGATCTACAGAGTACTATTTGATTTTTTTTAATGGAACACCCTATTTTTCATTATATTTTTAGATTCTCCCTGAAGAGCTGATTTGATCAATGTATCACACTTGGGGTTTAGCAAGAATGATTACAGAGATATAGGGTGTTCAAAATCGAGATTTTTCAACTTTAGAAATTTTTTGTGGCGAAACTATTCATTATCGGTCAAAACGGCTTTTATTTCCGTATCTTAACGTTTGATTTACTATCTACTGACATTTAATGATTGGAAGAGATACAGGGTGATCAGAATTATGATCTTGAACCACCCTGTAAATGTTTCAATTAAATGTCAGTAGATAGTAAATCAAAAGTTGAGATGGGGACATAGAAGCCGTTTTGACCAATAATGAATAGTTTCGACACAAAAAAATCTTAAAGTTGAAAAACCTAGATTTTGAACACCCTATATTTCTGTAATCATTCTTGCTAGACCCCAAGTGTGATGTATCGATGGAATCAGCTTTTCAGGAAGAATCCAAAACTACAATGATATACAGGGTGTTCCATTTGAAAAAATCAAGTAGTACTCTGTAGATTGTTTGTTTCGAGCACCCTGTATTTTCTGATGCAACGGGAAAAAAAATTCTGAAAAATCATTTCAGATTATTTTTCAAATTTTCAAATCGGTGCAAAAATTAGTGAGCGGGGGGGACATTTATGGTGAATCACCCTGTACTACTGCATAACTTTTTTGTGAAACGAAAGATGTTGCTAGTTTGTGAATATGCTGATATGTTTTGGAGTAACAATTTTCAGTTCAAAGTGACAATTCTGATTGAAAAAAAAACAGTTGTGCTTCTATGCCTTGGAAATTTTATGATTCATAAACAGTGAACATTAACATGAAGTAAAATGGCGAGAACGCCGATTATAGTCACAAGAATTGGTGGAAGAGCAAACTGGTGGATATTTCAATCCACCAATTTTCACAATGACAGAATGGAGTGTTACACACTCGTCGAATTTACGCCACATACCTATTTTATATTGATCATCCCGTGTATAAAAAGTATTTGATGCGTCATTTAAAATATATAAAATATTTTTTTCAATAATTAAATTCGGCGGTTTAGAAAAACGCCAGGTTCGATGACGTCAGGAACAGAATTCTGGCTTCCGCACAAAAAGGAAGGACCACATATTTCGACGCTGCCAGATTTGTAACTAGTTATTTGTAGAGTCACTGGATGGTATCAGTCTGATATAAATAATATACCATCCAGTGACTCTATAGTAATTACCTCATGAGATTCAATATGACCACTGACAATAGTATTCACATTCACAGAAGACAATAGTTCAACGTGGCCCCTAATAGTCCAGTCACCAGGTACATTTTACCTGGACAAAGGTCCGAAGTTGATGATCTTTTGATATGTTGTAAGAGGGTATTTCGTGATGTAAAAACCAAGTTTTCCAATTGGAGAAACTTGTGCAAACTTCAGGGCAGTCGCAAGACCAAAAATGTTTGCCTCTTTTTTCAGTATTTTGCTTATTACTACTAAAATAAACACTTTAGTCAAAAATACTCTATTACAAAAGTTGTAGAGCATAAAATTTTCAACAATTTACATCTATAAACCGTTGCTCAAAATTTGATAGGTACCGAGATATGACACTGAAGTATCGACATTTCTTCCAAATATCGAAAAACTGCGAATAATGCACGTTTTTCTCAAGTAACTTTTATCTTTCACGTTTCAATATCCGTTTATGAATAACTTTCAATAACCTGAACAATAGAAACCTCTTTCTCAATGAGATTTCAATTTATTAACTGAGTAAAATGATTACAAATAAAAAGCCTTCACTTTGTTGGCAGGTCGGCATCTTCGTCCTGAGCAATGGTCTCATCCATGACGACCTCCTCGTCGCCCTCAATGTCGGTATCTTCCTCGTTGAGTTCGGTTTCAGACGAATTCTCACAAGCATTTCCTGCACAATTCTTGCAGATGGCTGAACACCGGAGTCCTGCTTTTTTGCAGTTGCAAGCTCCGGTGCTACAACCTGTCATGCACTTACATTGTATCATGTGCAGCAACTTTTCTGGAGCTGCATCTGTGGTCGTTGTTATGGGTATCAACCATCGTTTTGTGAGAGTCCACCCCCAAACAGACGGTGACTTTTTGTTGCCCAGCCACGTCTGCACTTGTATATGAGTTCTCAAAGAATGGTACCGGGCAGCGTCCCGTGTAGGTGGCAATCGGGCAAGGTGAAATCTGGATTTTGCCACAGAGTTCGAGAATATTCGGTAGCGAAGATCGTTCACAGTGTCTGTGTCTATGTTTCCACCGTAGAGTGCCACAAGAAATTTTTCTCCTGCTACCGAAATTTGGCGTGGTGTTGCATCTTCATCTTTGAAAACACTAACAATGTCAGACAGAAAATGGTTTTTCTCATAAATAGAGAGGACTTTCTTCTTTCCCACTCCAAAAGGGTTCGATGTAGTGTCACACCCGCTAACTGCATGGAGGAAAAGAATATCCTGAGAATTGTATTTGCAAGATGATGACGAATACAAAGTACTAGGAGCATTACCTCTCCCACTCTTTTGGAAATACACGTTCTTTGGAGATGAGCCCAACGCAGTCGGCAATACTAACAGATCTACGTCTTCACCTATAATAGTAACACTATCGAAGTCAGGTTAGGTTAGGTTAGCTTTAGATATCGCAGTTTTCACTATCATGACATCAGTATCTTCTATTGCCTGCTTAACCTCAATACCCTTTGTTTCCATTTGAGTCATCAGCAACGAAATGAAATTCTTCTTGTTTGTGTCGTTGGACAATAATTTTTCTTGTGGCAGTGTCACGGCCGTTGATAATGAGAATACGAATGTTGTCGAAGAATGCAGCAAAGCCCTGCGATGTCTTTCAGCTGCTTTGGTGCTCTGATGAGCAACGTCACTTGGGTATCCATCGAACACTACTATGGAATTACACCCAAAGTGTTTCTGAACGTAGTCGACATAGGTCTTGCAAACTGACTCGAACGTGGGTGGTAGCGGTGGTGGCGGAGAGTTCCCTATTATTTTTCTATCAATTATAAGTTGAATATTTTTCGAAAAAAAAATTATTGTAGGATTTTGTATGTTTTCATTCATAAATCGCCTTTTTTCTCGAAAACTGTTCTCCTCAGAGCATTGAAGCAAGAGGACCTTTTTTGTGTGAAAGACGTTGGCGCTTCAGAATGTGCTTTGAAAATTACAATTTC